CAATAATTATTCTAATTAGTTCATTATTTTTTATCTTGTATTTAATTATTTTTATTTTTATTTAGTTACATGAATTCAAAAATAAAGCTGTAATAAGTTATACTTATATAAAATCTACTTATAATTTTGAATTTTAAATAACATATATTAATAAACTGTATTTCATCCATGAAAAATAGTTTTAAATTTTTTTTATTGATTCTCAATTTTAATTTTCGGTTTTATCGATTTATACAAGTTTTTGGATAACTTTATTTGAAATTAATAATTTTCGGATTAAATAAATAAAATAGTAAACTACAAATTTGGTGCCTAGTTTATCAAAAATCACACTTTTTATCCTTATAGTTTCAAAACTATAAAATAACCATCGTATTTTATAAAACCTTTCAGAGTTAGTCCCTCTCTTTAATATCTGTTAGAAACTCCTTAAACGAGGGATATTTTCATCATTTTATTGATTTTATTTGTCGTTCATTCAGTCAAAATCAATTATGTGATTTTGGTCCATGTGATTTTTAATCGAGTTAAAGAGGAAAAATATCGATAAAAAGACAAAAATAGCCTTCATCTAACGCAGACTTTTACGATCATTATAGGGAGAGATGAAATCTGAACGTTTTCACAAACCACAAAAACCATCTTATAATTTCAAAACTGTAAGAACAAAAACTGTCATTTCGAACATACAACGAGGACCAAATTCGTAGTTTACTCTGAATTTAAAAAATAAGGCCCACAAAGAATAATCAACAAGTTTTGCAGGTCATGGGCCCATATGGGCCTTCAATGGTTGCTTTGTAGTTTTTTATTTCCCTGTGTGAAAATATATCACAATTTTATTTTAATTTTTTTAATAAAATATTAATATGTTTTCACGTGTTTGATGTTGGACAGTGAGAGGACAGTAGATTTCTATTCATTTTAAATGTCGGGTTTCGTGTTTCTTTTGCCTACGATCATGAAACAGTATTGAATCATGTACGTTTCTGGCATGTAGCTCAGTTGGTGCACCCTCACATTGGTGTCATTGGAGGTTGGTTTCGTGTGGAGCTAGTTGAAGTTGTCGGTAATCAACTTTTTGTTCAGATATTAAACCATCCATGTACAAAAACAAACGAGAACCTGTTGAATCAGTAAATCTCATACCAGTTAGGATTTAGGGTACGAGAAGGGTAATATGTACTCAAGACTTTTCCTTTTTTCTTGAAGAGATGTTTCCGTGAAAACATTCGGCTTTTTGTGAAAAGTAAAATTATTGAATCATTCGTGTGAACAAATCATCAGAAAGAACTTCATTACAAATGTTGATCGGTTGATAATAATAACTACGCGTTTGATGTTTACATGAGAATGAAGTAAACTGAAAACAATTTACTACATCGACATCTGATTATATATATATAATTGGGATCACGTGAGACCAAATTGTTTTTGTGAGACCATTTTTTTACAATTGAAACTTCACAGCAACACGTTGTGAATGTAACCTTCACAGTGTTTGGTTGTGAATATTCGGCTTTTTTTTACCTTCACAACGTTTTACTGTGAAGTTTCAAGTGTCAAAATGTGGTCTCACGAAAACAGTCTGGTTTCACGTGATCACAACCCTATATATATATATATATATACACACACACACACACACACACATATCTAGATAGAGGAGATTTACTTTGTAGACCACGTTATTTGTACAAATCGTACAAACTCATTCAACCAACCATAATTTTCATTTTGTTAATTTTTTTGTAATTATGAGAGGTTGATTAATCATTTTTATTGTGAAGGGTGTTAATCATATATATAATCATTTTCATTATATTAATTTTAGAGAAGTACATGAAACTGTTTCATTAAAATTTCATAAATAATATATGAAATAATTTCATAACCATATATGAAACAATTACATAAAAAAAACTACTATATGAAACAATTTCACAAGATTAAACAATTTCATGAAAAAAATTCATAAGATTAAACAATGAAATCGACGGATGATGGTGGTTTACATAGTTTATACAAATATAAGTGGTTTGCATTTGATCGCTCATATGTATATGTGTGTGTATGTATTTACATACACACAATACATAAAATAGTTAGGACTTAGATAAATAATCCATGAAAACATGGCAAAAATCATGACATACTTGAAAAAAAAATTCATTATGGATCACAAATCTAAGGATTTGTGGCCGATTGCAAGATTGTTTATGAGGGTGGGCGAGATGACACTTGTCCAGAGGCTAAAATGTGAGGGGCCCGATTATTTTTTATTACGTTGTCTGTTTTAAAAAGTCCAAATTTCTATTTATATTTGTCGGGAAATAAGTCCAGTTTCAAAACTATATAACAATTCAAAATTTTGCATGATGAGTATTCAAAAGTATGATGAGTATGACCGTTGCATTTAAAAGTATTTAATGACGAGTATCACAGCTCTCGAGATAACAATTGGAAATTCTGATATATTTATTCAGATATCACTTTAAATGTTAACACAAAGTAGGACTATTGTTTGACGAATAAAATTTTATTTGTTTATTAAAAGAGTTATTATGGGTAATAAAACTAATTTAGTGATAAAAGTTGAAAATATCTATACTATATTATAAAGACATTTGACAAAAACTCTTAGAAATCATTTTTTATGCATAAAATATTGTTTATGATGCATATTACTTAAAATTCAAGATTAAAAGTAAATTGTACGTGAGTACAATTTATTAAAGCTCTATGTTTGAATTCGTGTAACTAACTGCAGATAAACATAATCAAATAGAAGATAAATATTTAATTTTAAAATTAAAAAAAAACTAAAATATAATTAGGATAATTATTAAGCTCTAAGAAAATAATCAATTATTATCTTTATAAAAAATTATATTATGAAAATAAATACAAATTACTTCGTTATTAAACATAAATTAAATTATAATATAAAAATTAAACTAAAAGATTACACAAAAACGATAAATTTTAAATAGTTAATTTGATACTAATATCGATATATTTTTGTCAAATTTTTATGATATTTTCAAGTTTATATTTTATTCAAAAATAAAAACATTATCATTTTTCCAAAATCATATAAGACCATATTATAACATCGGCTGAGATAAATAATAAAACAAAATATTAAAATCAAGATGTATCTCACTGCATTGCACGAGTACCCTGCTAGTAATAAAAATATTTGAATGTCAGTATTTTCAATAACGTTTGGATCATTTCATATTATTCAGCTAAGTGTATGTTCGATTTCTATTTAAAAACGTTATGTTAATATAATAACAAGACGAACACCCATATTTAATTCAGCAATATATCAACTGATAACACTTTGTGTAACAGTTCAAGTTTTGGATGCCTAATGTAAGGTCTGTAAAATTATTTTCTTTAAAATTCTACTATAAGGATACTCGCGTAATGAAGCGAGATACATCTCGATTTTAATGTTTCGTTTTATGCTGTCATCTGTTGATGTTATAATACGATTTTACGTGGTTTTAAGAAAAACAATAATGTTTTTATTTTTTAATAAAATATACATTGATATCATAAAATTTTAATATATATATATATATATATATATATATAT